ACTGCTGTCTTGAAGCTATACTCTTTAAAAAAAAGTAAGGGAACTTCATTTTTAATATATGATTGAAAAAATTGGGATATATTGGGAGTCAGTCAATGTTGATATGATAATAATGAATGTTTTGAGAGTGCAGCACCACTTGCACTTTCTTATGACCATAGTTGTTTGTACAGTAATCACTCTTGAAAGATGATTGGTGTATGACGTGAAATTTGCATGTGTACGATTTTCATTTTCAATAAAATGAAAACAGCCAGAAACAAACGCTAACAACTATGTGATGCAAGATGATTGTCAAAATTAATGGTCTACAGTGATTTATTGTCAAAATCAAGAATGACACCTCTTGCACGTTTATGGGGCTACTGCGTTGTGCACGTGCATCCCATGCGTTGTGTTTAGTGTTGGTGTTGGATGGTGGTTTAGACTACTGGTGGTGTGTTCATAAGATGTCTGTCTTTGAAGAGTTTGTTCACGCTTATATTTCCTATCCAAATTGAAAGTTCAAGTCCACTTATATTTTTTTAAGAGCATACCAGACAAACCTTTCAAAAATATTAGCAAGATTCACACCATCAGGGCATGGGGCCAGACAATCAAGCACGTCACTAAGTCTGATCACTGCATCCCTTAAGTCATCACATAGGCGGTTTCAGAGGGGGGTGCAGGGGTGCACACCGCTCTTTTTGTGCTGAAAGTTTGTTGAATTACCATTGAAACTCAGGTGAAAATGAAGTGTGCATCCCTCCTTTTCTCAATAGTGTGCACCCCCCTTTTTCAAAAAGCTGTATCCGCCCCTGCATCATGCACAACAAACACAGGTTGCTGGGGATCTATTCCAACCCAGAATTGCCTGGGACCCTCCATACATCTGCTACATACATCAGTGATTCAGCTAACAGCCAAACAAATCATCAACAAATCAACCCTTCAACAACAACCTTTAAATAAACACCAATGTGGATGGCAGGTTACCTGTAGGGGAACACAAAGCATTAATAATGACAGGCCAAAGTTTTTCGGTACATTTTCTGAACCTATTTTCTGTACAAAATAAAATTTCTTGTGTTTCAGATATCCAAAAGAAATACTGTGTCACTTGATTTTATAACAGAAGGAAACACTAGTCAAGAATCCCATATGTGATACTTGGACCAAAATCTGTTGCTTCCATATATTATCATCTATGTATCCTAAAACTCAAGTAGTTTCTGGTTTGGCCAAAACTATTCCGAGGCAAAATAAGATTTAACATCAAGCTCTAATATTTTACCACATATATAACCATGTGCAGTGGGGTGGTGGGATGAAAGTTTATTAAATGACCATTGAAACTTGGGTGAAAATGAAGTGTGCACCCCCCCTTTCTCAAAAAGCTGTATCCGCCCCTGACACTAGTAGTGTTCCGATTAATTGAAATAATCGAAGATTTCTCGCAGAGACGAAATGACCAAGCAGTCGATCACACTATTTTGTCACTACTGTTTTAGTGTTTGAAACACTTAATGATGGAACATATCTTAGAAGTTGTCAGGGCCTGAAAACATGTTTAATTCTAAAAAAACTCACTTCACTTACTGAAAAGTCATGACTGCATATTTCTTGAGGACTCCAGGGCGTTTATGAGTGAGTGAGTGAGTTTGGTTTTACGCTGCTTTTAGTAATATTCCAGCAATATCCAGAAATGGGCTTTACACATTGTACCCATGTGGGGAATTGAACCCGGGTCTTTGGCGTGACGAGCGAACGCCTTAACCACTTGGCTACCCCATCGCCCCCCAGGATGTTTATGTTCATGATATATTAGTCATCACTTTAAAGTAGCAAGTTGCATCATTTTACATTGGATGTGAAGTTTGAAAATGCAATTTGAAGAGTTCCTAAATAAAACAAAAGTAACAACAGGGAACCACGTCATACTTATCTGCAATAACAACCTGAACAGGAAAATTTGAAAAATGACGCTATGAGAATAAGAGAAAATGGTTTCTAACCCCTTTTAGCAATATTCCAGTAATATCACTAGAAATGGGCTTCACACATTGTACTCACGTGGGGAATCAAACCCAGATCTTCGTGTGATTGTAACACTTTAACCAAACGGCTGCAGGGCGATATCTTTTGAGAAAGGGGGTGCACACATTGAGAATCTGCACGCTTCATTTTCACCCGTGACGATGGCCATTCAATAAACTTTCAGGACAAAAGGGGCGACTTCCCTGCACATTGATCCGCCTATGGGCTAACACTTTTCAATTAAAGAAGGTATTAAAATATTGCAGGTAAGTGTGATATCCCATAGCTTTGACCAAGGGTACATGTTTTCACTTATATGAGGTGCCCAATTGTTGCCTCTCAATGACTCAAGGACTGGAGACTAGCAATGCAGTCACACTAGACTGTTCATATAAAACCACAATAATCATGATTAAAATTTGATGCAATTCAAACAGCATAACTATTATCATGATTATTATTCAAGGGAGCTCATACAGTATTACGGTTATGATTATCATTCAAGGAAATTCACACGGTATAATAACTGTGTTGATTCTAATTCTGTAAAATTCAAACAGTGCAACATATGATAATTATCATTCTAGGAAATTCATACAGTATATTACAATTGTCATGGTTATGTAGCTAGGCAAAACAACTTGTGAAGTAAGCGAGTATGATCGGAAACTGTTTTACTTATATTTCAGCAAATTAAGATGAAGGACACCAAGAATGGACTTCACATTTTGTACCTGTTACGGTTTCAAAAACAGCTTCTTGATATGACAAGCAAATGCTTAAACCACCAGGCCACCCCAATGAGAAATTTTAAGAGGTGAAGTGAGGTTTAAAGTCGTACTTAAGAATATTCCGCTCATATGACAACGTGCATGCATGTGCATGTGTGGCTGCTTGTACTAGCCCAGACGTAAACTGGTTTTATAGTGCTAGCTCACTGAGATACCATGCCGCAGTTAAGCATGAATACACTTCTCAGACACGTAAAACTGATTCCGAGCCGACCAGTCCTTCCTGTACCTATTAATGCTGAGCGCCAGGCAGGGACCAACAAGTACCATATATTAACGTCTTTTGGTATGACACAGCAAAGGCATCGAACCCTCCACCATCCGCTCTCCAGGCGGACGCTCTAACCACTACACCACGGAGGCGGTTGGAAATGTAAAGAAGCACATTAAGCACCACTGCTGTTGCTGACTTAATACAAAAAACAAGTACACATCACACAGCCTGAGAAAGTGAAGTCCCCATTTGTGTACAATCACAATCAATTGATAAGCATAGGTTATCATATGGTAGGTCTACATTGTCAAAGTTATTAGTTACTGAAACATGTATCACAAATATTGCCTCTTAGCTTGTAAAGACAATCTTCATGATATCATTCAGGTCATTAAGAGCATTGTACATTGATCAGCAAAATAGAAATAGTATCCTCCAGTGAGAGGTCCTGTTAATGAACACCCCAACCGTCATACATGGTAATATGTATTCATGGTAATACAGACCAAACCTGTTAGTAACAGTCGTAATGTCTTCTACAGTACCATATTGTTAACACATTTTGTTACACATATTAGTTAAAGGCCACATCAAATTAGTTCATTTCAGGCAAACATTGCTGCATAAAATAAACAGAAACTGCAAACAAATCACACACAAAAGTCAAATTAAAGTGTTAATGAACATAAATCTCAGATTACTCCATCAGGTAAGTCAAATAAACATTTTGTTTCTGAGGACTTTGTCACAATGTCTGGTTTGGGATCCATCTTACTGAAATGCAAGCCCTGAAGATATGGGGATGGGATTGAGAGGGACTGCTTATTTTTCCTTAGTTGACTTTAATATTAGACTGCAAATCTATAAATGTAAACTCTATTCTAATGCAAAATGTGACCTCTATTGCCTTTCATCCACTACAGTTGTTAAGAGCGATGACTATGAATTTCCGTGATGATAATACAGAATGTTCAGCGTACAGGGAAGACTTTGATGCATGACGTATGCTAAAAGTCGAAATTTGGTTAATAAGGAATCTGACTTGTTTTTGTAAAAACACGTAAACATGTGAAATCAACGATTGGGGTCATGGCATTTCTTGGGCTTGGTCAAGAGAAACAAGGAATTTATTTAACAAACTTATCATTACTGTGTTAGTGTTGAGAAAGAATCCTGATGGAACAACCCGACATATTTACCTAGATGTTTAGACCAAACACAGGAGATGAAGTAGACTCCCATCACCATTGCCCTATTAATCATTAACATTAATATTCCACTATACTCCTCAGATTGGGAATTGCAATGGGATTTGTCACTGTCATTTCTTTAGCAGACAACTTTACTATTCTCAAATTTCTTGACACAAAGACAGAATAATGTCCTTTTTGACAATAATTGTTTCTTACCATTCGCTGGCTTTTTACAAAAAACAATTTAGCAAACTGTAATTTGTTGTGGCCTAATGAAGATATTTCACATGAGTTCTGCTAATACACCAATAGGGCCCGTAAGTAGGTCACTGCACTTCACAAGACCCTAGTACTTCCGGTGACAAACGTTTCATACCTTTTCAATGGTCTCTTGGTTGTCAGTTGACACTAAGGAACCAATAATCCTTGCAGGAATAACAAATTTCGGATCTAACCATCCCCAAATTAGCTAACTATTACCACCGTCAACAGCTGTGACAGCATGGTTGGATACTTTAACCAGTATAGTAAAGTCATATTTGGCAGTCGCACAATTTTGAACCAGAACTGGCTCTTGAATATATGCTTGTCACTGGAAATCTGGTACTGGAAGTAAGCTTGGCAATAAGCATATCACAAGTTTGCTAACGCAAAGGGAGACGGAACCAGCTTAGTACCGGAAGTAGCGCCTTGTGAGACTTACAGGCCCTAAACTGTGGAGAAGCTGGGTTAGTGAGGTGACTGTGCAGGCAACAAGCATGTGAAGCAAGACAAGCCGTGTTTTACCTGTGGACCTAGGCTGGAATCCTGTGACAAGAAAACAAGGAAACAAACACAAGTTAATCAGGCTGCATGCACATACATGTGACATGAACAAGGCACAATGAGGAATATGAGATAAGAGGAACAGTAATGAAAGGAATAGTAAGGTGATAATTGTCTAATTCATTTGATTTACAGTTTGACCATCTTGAACAGAATGTAATAAAATATAACAAAAATTATACCCACTCTTTATGCAGTAGGATGGACAAAATATACACTTTTCTTTATAAGGTTCATTTGATAATGAGCAGAAAATGGGTACCCGGTCGGATAAGTCATGTGACTAAAACCTTCTAGCGCCTAACAGGCAGCTTGGGTTATCCGGGGTAGTAATGTGTTAGCGCTTTGAGCATGCACAAGTGTGCGGAATAAGGCACTTTATTATATAGTTTACAAATGGCTATTATTATATATCATTATATTAAAAATTTAATACTTCAGAAAATCACATTTGAAAATATATGTTAAGAAAGCTCCAACACTTAAAACAGTACTAACAATTATTGGGTGATTTAAGTATGGTTTCACTTCACTTTAAGCATTATTCCAGCCATAGCATGCAAGGTAGACCAAGAATGGGATTCATACATTTTACCCATGAGGGGAATCAAACCCATTTTCAGCATGATGAGTGAAAGCTTTAACCAGTAGGCCACCACATCACCCCTGCATCATTCAGCGTTTCATCACAGAACTATGATGCTTCTAATACCAGTGTCACTGATCAAGGAGTGAGAAGTAATTTACACAGGATCAGATGATAAAGCAAGCAGTTAAAGCCAATCAGATACAAGCTGAGTATTTTTTTTCAAGAAAGACTTAATTGCAAAGTACGGGGAATCAGTTACTCAAAATTACAACAGGTCATACCTTGCTTCCTTCAACATTATCTCAATCCTCGATAATCTCCAGGGTATACATTCCGATAAATCTCCACTACCCTGGATGCGAAATGTTACGAAAATTCTAACAATAACGACAGCAGATAAGAAAAATAAACTCAAACAGTTTAATGGTAAAATTAGGCAATATGATATTTCGTTGTAATTTCTGCGTATTCTTGTTCCTTCACTCCCTTGAACCGGAAGCGGGCAGGGGGAATGGAGGCGAAGAACAATTTGATATGCTACGAGTGGCGCTTGAAATGTTGAATTAAATATATTTTACGTGATTAACTATTAAATATGAGGTTGGAAATCAGAGAGCACAACCCTGTGAGGAAATGGGTGTCTACCTTTGATGGTGACAATATCTTTTTTGATATTAAAAATATTTTTCGAACCGAAGCGAGCGAAGTACGTTGCCAACCTTTACTCGCTTCACTCGCATATAAGAAGACTGGTCAGTTTCTCTCTGTTGCGCAACCCTATTTGCGCTACAGTTAGCCTGTGATCCAGGGTACCAGTGGAGATTTATCGGAACATATACCCTGGAGATTATCAAGGATGCATTATCTCAAAGACAAGGAAAACACTGTCTTCCTGCTTTTGTCTCCGACGTCCTGTGGTGCAATGACCATAAAGAGGTGTTACTAACGTCATGGAACTACACAGTTTGGCAGGTTTTTTTGTCAATGGTAATTGAGTGTCCTGAAAATGCTATGGCAACCAGATGCAAAATTGAAATAAGTAGAATATTGTTTTTTTATACACCTGACTGAAGCAACAAAATTTAAATGGTCTCACGCGAACATATGGATTTTTCTGATACTAAAAAGATAGCAACTGATACAGATATGTGTTTTCAAGATGTTTATTTCATTTTCGAATTCCAAACTTTGTCTAACTGCATGCCTGAACAAAGAAGAGAACAGTCTTTCGTTTACAGCTGGGAGAATTTGGTTTTTTGTTAATCTAATATTCTTGGATTAATAATGTTTCCATTTAAACCAAATAGAATATTTCATGTGCCTGGTGTATCTGTCATCTCTTGATGTGAGGAATGTCATAATTTGGCTCCACTACTCGTGAAAATATACTATTCAGACTTTGCTAAGGATCAAATCATGGATTCAACAGAAAACTATGATGTGGGGTCAAATTTGGTTTAAATATCTAAGCTTACTGTAACCATGGATACTAGATTTCAGTATGTCATTGCATCTTGTGGATCCCATACCTGCTATTGACAAGTGTTGTCTACTCGTCAATGACTTGTTCCATGATTTGCAAAATGGTTGATTGGTGCCATGAAAACCATTTTTATGGTTACTCGTGTATCAAGTGCATAAGGTTAGATTAAAGTGATTGTTTGCCTAAAGAGGGATTACCATATTATTATTTATCCAGTTTTAAATGGATACAATATCAAATTATAAATCTACGTAAAGTTGTGAATTTTGGTGATCCTTAGCAAAGTGTGAGTAGTATATCACATTTTTCATGTCACTCAATGACATACTTCATATTTCACTGGACAAGTGTTCTTGACATCATAGAACTGCACAGTTTGCCCATTGCCAGATCTTTCTCAGAGGCAAGTGGAGTTTATGAAAATGTTATGGCAACCAGACACCATTTTATTTGCTTGATGTACCTGACTGATGTAACAAAAATGAAATGGTCTCACATAAAATATCTGGATCTTTTCTGTTACAAGAGAAAGATGTCATAAAACTAAGCAACAGTCAGTGCAAGACACATTTAAGACATACAATTCTGTTGCAAAGTGAAAAAAAAGGATTATCCCCACTACAGGTTTTTTCAATGTTGTTTAACATTGGTTGGTTGGTTTGTCAGTTAACGCCCATCCACCAATTATCTAGCTCTATGGCAACAGTCTGTTAATAATTGAGTGAGTGAGTTTAGTTTTACGCCGCTCTTAACAATATTCCAGCGGTCTGTAAATAATCGAGACTGGACCAGACAATCCAGTGATCAACAGTATGAACACTGATCTACGCAATTGGGATACGATGGCATGTGTCAACCAAGTCAGCGAGCCTGACCACCTGATCCCGTTAGTCGCCTCATACGTCAAGCATGGGTTGCTGATTCTAACCTGGATCTTCATAGGTCTGTTATTTAACGCTGCACTCTGTAGTATTTAAGCTGTATTGTAAATAATGGCGACTGGATCAACAATTCTCGAGTTGACTTCGTGCATATCAATCTAAGCACCTGTCATACAATGACAAACATCAATGACAAATGACTAATCATGACTCTCTGATCCCATTAGTCACGTCATACGACAAGCATGGGTTGCTAAAGACTAATTCTCTACCACACACCCCTTTTGTGCGGACCTATCGTGTTGTGTCAAGTTCACACCTCACTTATTTGAGTTTACCTCTGTTCAGAACACTAGAATTACATGTTGGTAGCATATTTCACTTAACACATACAATATCCTCTACCTTCACTCTTAAGAAAACAAACTGTATTGCTGTATCTTTAGATGACAAACACGACAAAAACCAAATAATGGATCTTATCCACACACACACACACCCAACAACCCCCCCTCCCCCTCCCTCTCCCAAAACAAAACAAAAACAACCCATAAATATCAAAACCATAGTGTAATTCATAATAAAGACAACATATGCACAAAGGTGTCATTTATAGACATATGTATACTGAAAAATGAAAGTTGATTATGCACACACATCAAACTTTGGTCTTTTCCTTGGGGAACATGCTGTTATTAATGGATGGCTCACATATATCACCTATGCATGCAACGTTTCTAAAACTAGATTCCCATTGCTGGGGTCAATATTGAAAAGGGAATTGTCAAAAGACATTGAAATTTATCTTTAACTTAAACTTTACATAAGTACTAAAATGTTGTATCATCCTTATGAATGAAAATTAACTACTGGTAAAGCTTTTGAGAAATAATTTCCTTGGTTTGTTCTAAATAGCAACATTTACTTTACTTAGATAACAGTATCTGTTTGCTGCTGGAACTTTGGATGTGTCTAATTCAGTGTTTGCTTATTCTTATGTCCCAATCTGCAATATTACACATGTATCACCCTTAAATCAAATCACATTACTTGAATATATGTCTTAGCTTACATTTGAAAAATAACAACAAACTTGTGTGTAACTTCAGAGACCTTCAATTAACCTTTGGAACAACAAATACACTTTAATGTTCTCGTGACATTCTTTACCTGGATTCCTGTGCCGACTGCTCGCTGGGTTTCAATTACCACAAAACATGAACCTAAACCTCGTGCACAGATATGACTTCACAAATATGCTAGTAATATGCTAGTAATATGTTACGTCACAAGCTTGCTGACAAAATTCTCTTCTGATTATTCATTTGACTGTGATAGGACATCTAGTTTCCAGTAAGTTTTTATGTTAAAGTATAGATTGTTGTCAACAAATCTTAGCTTAGTTTGAAAAATAACAACAAACTTGTGTGGAACTTTAGAAACCTTCTATTAACCTTTTGAACAACAAATACACTTTAATGTTCACGTGAACGCTATCCATTGTATGATGAATATATATAAATTTATTTTTTCTCATCGTTAACATTAGGGGGGATACGGGAGGATGTCTTACGCTTTCAAATGACATAAGGTTATTCGAAGAAGCATGCTAAAACTTAGCAATGTGAAATAAATGCTCCCGTGTTATCAATGGGGGACTACTGCACATTACTGGGCGCACTTTTTCAGATTAATTAGCGCTGCTGGGGCTCAGGCGCTTCGCCGGAATACTGACTTCATTAATTAGTGACGTAATATTGGCGGACGCTCTACCTCGGGACCATGAGCACCATCACAGTTAATGAGTGCTCGTTTAACGGGTCATTTGCACAGAAGTGAGGCGGAAGCAGCGAGAAATGAAAACAAACAACTGCGCACGCGCAATGGTTTGTTTACATTTCTCACGCTTCCGCCCCACTGTGTCACGCCCTTCCCATTCATTTTTTTTCGCACCATTATTTCTTGGGCTGTACTGACGAGTACCGGATGGATCGAAATGGGTTTCAATTGGATATAATAGGATTATATTGCCCTAAGGTAAAGTCAAACCCTAAATCAGAGTCGGAAAGGGTCCCTAACCCTACCCCTCTCCCAACCCTAACCCTAAGGATCGGAAAGGGTGCCATACCCTAACCCTAAGGATCGGAAAGGGTGCTAACCCTAAACCCTAAGGATCGTAAAGGTTCCCTTACCCTAACCACTAACCCTAAGGATCGTAAAGGGTGCCTAACCCTAAGGATCGTAAGGGGTCCCTAAACCCTAAGGATAGTAAAGGGTGCCATACCCTAACCGTAAGGATGGTAAAGGGTTGTTTGACTCTAAAGATGCAAGTGAAGGGAGACGGAGCAATTACCGCGATATAGCAAGACAGCGCTTGAGACAGTGCGGTAGCGCTATAGCGCGATAATCATTGCCCCGCAGCGAGCAGCGAGGGTAGTCTGTCTCACAGTCCCTGAACCACATTAATTTCCCTACTACCAAGCCCTCTCTGCAGTGCTAAAGCCCTAAATAAAGCAAGTCTAGATTTCCTCAGGTTCTGAATCTCTGGTCTCCCTAGGGCTCCTTTTCAATATAAATGGGTTTGTTTGTCACTATCAAAATTATATATATTCAGAGACTAAGCCTTAGTCTACAGCGAGGGCTGCGCCCGGTAAAGTGCATTCTAGCCATCAATGGTATGAATAACAGATACACATCCATGTATTGGTCTCTGACAGGCATCACTCATCATGCTCTAAAGTGGATAATCACATTAAAAACACAGACATAACTAATCACACCGTCCTGTACCTTTGGGTATAACGCATCTTTATCAGCGTTACCGAAAACGAGCTTCTAGACTTTCAATTCTCTTCTCTAACACATCAATTTGACAGGTGGCCGCCATCTTTTCTACACCAGTGATGTGCTCTCGATAAATTTGTAGGAGAATCTTTCTGAATCATTCACTTATTACTAACAGTCAATTCGTTGTAATACTTTCATGATATGTTTATACACATGCTTCAAAATAATGGAGGATTAACCTTCCGCCGAAACGGGAAACTATGCCCCAGAACATCACTTTTATTGACCCCACATTATTACCTCCCTTTGATCGATGACTCATTTGAGGCACACTGTAAAGCCACGTGTTTATGACTATAAAAAATACCGTCGAATGTATTTCGCACATCAGGCGAAGCTGAGAACGAATACTTTTTCTCAGGATTTCTTCTATATTTTCATACATTGACAAAGAAGTACCCATTTATGTTGTATGCATTATTTTTGGTCAATAATAGCCTTCATCTTGCATATATGCAGTACGTTTATATATTTATTTATTGTAAGTTATATATACAGTAACCAAGAACAGGTGATGTCGTTGGTTGTAGATTTATAAACATAAATGAGAACATTCATACAGGCAACCGCGTGGAAGTCTTGAAGTGACGTCATATTCCACAAAATACTGAGACAGGAAATATATCTAAACCACTGTGTGGGCGGACCATTCCAATAGCTGACAACCAGACTAAGGCTCGGTCTCTCAGTATATGGAGAATGTCAGAACATGACATTCATATATATTACTTTTATTTTTGTCGTTTGAATACAACATACATTCAGGTAAATACTGCTACCAGGCACTCAGAACACAACAAAAACAACAACTGTAATAACTGGGTTTTTTTCAGGAATTATTCCTCTAACTTCCTTGTTTAGGAAAATAGCCGAATCAACGAGTGTTGATATATTTGATATCAGAAGACACGAGGGTGAGATTCTATTTATCATCAAAATTCACTCTTCATTAGTTTTCAATAAAAAATGTACATCTCTGAACACGGTACTGCCATTAGACTTGCAGTGCAGCGATGTCAAAGCATTGTGACGTCATCAGGTCTTTGACGTCATATCATTGTAAGTCATGAAAATGATGATGTAGTACAAAATCTACTGTCAAAACGATATCCTCTTAGGAGATATCTCTTGATCTCACACAAGCAATATCTCCTATGTGGAACAGTTTGGATGATAAATATCATTTGGACAAATAATCCCTTTAAGTTGAAAAGGAGCCCCACTGGGATGGGAGATTCAGAACCTAGAGGCAATCTAGATTTTTGTCATTTAGAGCTCTACCTCGATCAGCGCTCCAGAAAGTGTTTGGCGGAAGAGAAAATAATGCGGTACATGCATGGACCGGAGACAGATTAATTGACAACCTGCTCAGATCGTGAAATGTACACGTGTTCATATCCGTCGCTGGGGGTCTTGGAAACAGAGATAGACAACCCAGACAGATGTACATTGTAGCGTTGAGTGAACATTTGACATTGACAAAAGGCATATGAAGGTGTTTGCTTCGTGATGCTGATGTGTTTGGGTTTTGGCGGATGTTTTTTCCGGTTTTTCCTTTGCATATAGGTTGTGACAACGATTGGGGTATAAAAAGCAAATCTTCAACGCTTATTTATCCTTTGCAAAAGCAAAGCTGCAAATTTGTCCTTTGCATGTTAAACCCTTTCTCATCTGTGTTTAAGCAGAACAAAGTCTATCCCCTTTGCTGACACATAAGGTCGTGAACATACAAGGAAATCCTGATGAAAATGGGACCAAGAAAAATCTCTACTTTCTAGATTTCTTTAGTTAACTAAGTGAGTGAGTTAATATTTAACGTCACATCGGCAATATAGTTAACTAAGTACGACTTGCATGCCATTATTGAAGCATCTGCCTCACTTTCAGTATTCCTTGGTACACACGCATGAATTGATATGCGACGCACACAAAATCTGAATTTTATTTTTAACGAGGTTTGATATATTTTCTTCATTCTAATCCTAAACATACATTAAAGACTTTTTTCATCCCCAGAATCCATATTTGATGTTTATTATAACTTTACAGATCAACAGCTCACTAGCAAGAAACGTTATCTGATTGTGGAGGTTGTTTTGGTTCATGCTGCTTTGCTTGGTAACGGCAGTTTGTCCATAGTTACCATTATTTGCGAATCAGCCCTTAGCAACGTGTCGTCATATCAACGCATTGTCGGAAGCACTTAGATACGACATCATCCGTTGTTCATGACGTCCCAGTGAGTCCTATGTGACATCGTTCCAACAATATAGTTGCTCAGTTGATGTCTCCGCTTATATGATAGAGAAACGCACATTTTCCTTAGCTTATAACGTGTCCCTTATGAAGTGAACTGGACTTCCCAACAGTAACTGGTACCCCTGGGATTCGGGGTATCAACCATCTTAACTCCCGGGTTATTGTGTTGTGTATGATTTGCTCTGCCCCTCGAGTGCTATGTATGGGGTATCAAGGAATTACGAGACCCGTTAAGATCCGGGTTGGAACGCTTCCGGAAACATTTGAAATGTCCGCCTTCTCGTGTACGAAGAAAATAATAAGTGGGCCTTTCATGATTTTTACACGATATGGAAAGAAAGAAGTTTGGGCTAATGTTACACATACACACACACTCACACAGAGAGAAAGAGAGAGAGAGAGAGAGAGAGAGAGAGAGAGAGAGAGAGAGAGAGACAGACAGACAGACAGACAGACAGACAGACAGACAGACAGAGATTAATTGTTTTTATTTATTGCATAAGATTTGTGTGTCATCATTAATTCTTGAAGATGACCATATTCATACTAGTGCTGTTCAGTCTGTTCCTGAGAAGTATTGTTCTGTAAAGCATTTCGAGTCGGGGTCATCTCAAATTTGTTCGGGTTTTTTTTTAATCCTTAATGCCCGTGGCGCAAACTACCTTTTGATTGCCGGAGATATTATTCGTATGTTGTTAACACATTTGTAGAGAGCACCTGACAAGCTGTTGTTCTTTACACGAATCATGCTGATCATGACTCGGATCATTACAGACTTGCCAGCTCGTTGTTAGTCATCAGTTTCTAAACGAGCGGCCAGTGATGTGTTTCTTCCCGGCGTGAGTGACACCCCTCGTGGCGACCCCAGCAACGTCGCGCGATCCTGCAGATGTCACACAATTCCAAATAATATAGTGGTTTAAACAGATACACCTTGGGCAAATGTAATAGTTAATGTCAGAGGTTTTCCTGTGTCGCCGTACCCTGACTGTGTTGAACGATTGATGTACTGAACGACTTAGTGACCCCAGTTTCAGAACTTCAGATTTTCTATTGCATCAGTTCGCCGGCATCCGCATAGGATGTGAAAAGCTTTGTTGCATGGCAGCAATTCCATTAACCGCGGATATAAACAATTTGAGCATAAACGTGCTTACGTTTAATTTACATAAAACGAACACGTGATTTCAATGAAAACAGAAAAAATAACGTTTTAATAGCATGACGCAATAATCAAGTTAACAGCATCATATATAGGGATACGAACGAAACTTATGGGCCAGTTGGTATTCTGTGGGGATAGCGTGGGTTAGAAAACTAATTTTGCTCCCGTTTTAGTTTTGTTTGCTGAAAGCCCTGTTGTAAATTTATGTTTTTTAAATTCCGACTACTTGTTTCCGCGACAACACATGTTTTTCTAGAAGTATAGAACTGAAACATATTAAGTCTGTACTACCTTTTATAATCTAACAACCCCACACCCACGAATGTCATGGTCGCTGAGGTAGCCAAGTGACTTACGCGTTCGCTTGTCACGCTGAAGACCCGTGTTCGATTGCTCACAGTGTACAATGTTCTGGTGATATTGTTGGAATATTGCTAAAGGGACGTAAACCCATACCCACTCAGCCCACGAATATCAAATGGTTGAATCCAGAATATCAAATGGTTGAATCCATGACCATGAATGTAGAAAGACCATATTAGCTGGGTCCCGTCTCATATCACAAGTTGATGACGGAATAGAAAGCCGGGAACCCGTTTACCGTAATTTGGCTTGTGTAGTCCCAATGTGGTATGACGTCATAATGCTACAGCAATAAGAACAACACTATATGACGTCATTAATTATTCACGTCGTCACAAAATCATATCACAAAAACAGCTTTAGGAAATATACTGACTGTTTTCAGTATAGATTTTCGAACGCGGATTCGATAACTGAATACAGAACATTACTGAGACACCAAAATAGCACGTAATTTGGCATTGTCTTGGACATTACACACCTCTTTTATGTTTAGGCATTGTGACGCGGTAGACATAACGTCACAGTACGTGTTGATGTTACTGAATTTTACAATACCCATTCTCCTACCCAGAGTTCCTTGCGGTCAACCATGTGTAATGTTCAGTCTTCAATGCAAAGGAGCGTGTACGATACAATCTCTTTGCCATGTGCCACACACGCTGCATATAACGTAAGAACGACGATACAATACACAGTAATGTAAAGAAGTAAGATCACGATCTGAAACGGCCAAAATAGTTTAAAAGTTTCCAAATGTGTGAATATGGAAACCGATCCCAAATCACCAATTGTGTAGTTTCTTTTGTACGTCAGTTTATATATTCGTTTCTGGCAAGGTTGTCACCAGCAGAGTCATGGTCTAAAGTAGATTCAGTACCGCTGTCGTACCAAAAGGAATGCGTGATTCTAAAAGACCATGGCAGAATGAGTAGGTGTGTGATTATGGTTTTACACCGCTTTAAGCAATATTCCAGCAATATCACGACAGGGGACACCAGAAATGGGCTTCACACAATTTACCCATGTGGGGAATCGAACGCGGGCCTTCGGCGTGACGAGCGAATGTTTTAACCACTAGGCTACCCCACCGGCCCCATGGCAGAATGAAGAAAAGGTTGACCATGTAAGGCTGCTATTTCATTTTTTTTTAAATTGATTTTCTTAGTATTAAAAAAAGAGTAAAATTGCTATAAGAAATTGAAACCAGGAATGTTTACGAGTTAGCTTCAATGACTGCGGGGCTTATACGTCATACATACAGTCGGGATACATAACCTGTCATTTACAAACTTCTATACTTTCAGTAAATCAACAAACAGGAACAGGGAGCGATAGTTATTAATATGACCGTGACTGTATTGTGGGTATTTCTGTATTTCCTCGCATCTGAATGGCCATTGTAAAATTCTCTTTTCCGATTGGTTGAATATATTGCTTTTTCCGAACTCTTGTTACCTAACACGCCGCACAAAAGCACTTGTCTATTTCAACAATATAGGGATTGTATAGTCAAACTAGATTTAAATTTAACACTGGGCTAAAAGACAATGTCACTTGGAATTACGAAACAGCACATCAAAGGTTTCATTCACAGAAGACCGCACACCATTGTCGAAACAATAAAATTGTGTTGAGGGATTGTTCTTTGGATTTCTGTTAAGATAACCAGGTTGAAATGACTATGGGGTAAAGCAATGTATCCCCTGTTCATAAATAACACATTTGTTGTCGCACATGTCTTAGAGAGTATTTAATGTCTTTACGGGCAGAAGACTTGCAAGGCAGAGCCAGGTCCCATTATACTCGGGTACGTGTAACCTGTTGTCTGATGATTTATTAGGTGAAAAAAAGGGGGGGGTAGGTTGTGGCCTGTTGCGTGGATACATATCATCATACCCGATGACTGTTATTTCCGCTGTAATCAAAGCAACTGTATCCATTTTAAAATATTTTCATTTAAATACCATTTAAAAAGCGGTTGCTCGTAAAACTAAACCGACCATATACTTCGGTCTGTATTCTGATTTCACATGGAAATTATATACGAAGAGGGGTCATGGTTTATGTAAATCAAATCAAGTAAGGGCTAAATGAAATCCTGTCTATATGCGATCCAATTTGTTTCGGGTTTGGGTTGTTTTTTTTAAACATGAAAATATGAGGTACAAGAAAGTTATCTTCATTGTGAGGGACCCGTGAAGGTCCGGGTTAGAATTGATCTTCAGTAACCCATGCTTGTCGTAAGAGGGCGACTAACGGGATCGGGTGGTCAGGCTCGCTGACTGGGTTGGCACATGTCATCGTATCCCAGTTGCGTAGATTGATGTTCATGCTGTTGATCACTGGATTTTCTGGTCCATATCCGATTATTTACAGACAGCCGCCATATAGCTGGAATATTGCTGAGTGCGGCGTATTTTTAGCGAAACTCACACATTGTGATCCAGGGGTCGTATTGATAAACGGATATTTGTGTGGGTTTTTTGGTTAAATATTTTGAACAAGTACGGGGTGTTTTGTGTCATTGCTCTCCAGTCAAATTACAAAGGGATTTTATTTGAAATTTTTATATCCAATTTGTGCACGAGCATACTGTTGATAATCATGATTGATAAAAACATGACTGTTCTGGTTATTAGTATGTGACAGGAAGACTGGCTCGACCAATCAGGGCATCCGCTGTTAATGACGTGTTTTCCTGGGGTTTATCTGGCTGAAAGTTGAAAGAGGAACTTACACCTTGAGTTTATGTTAGATGTGCAATATACTGAACACGGAAATAGCCACACAGGTATACAAAGAGAGGTGCGGGTTTCAATAACAGGAAGTGAAGTGAAAAGAATTGTACATGAATGTGCCGTTCCATTTCGTATCTTGGAATACATATATTAGTCACTTTAATCAGGGATAATCTACAGCCTTCTATTCTCCCTGCTTTAATAAATGTTGTCAATACGAAGTTAAACACCACACAACCACAGTTGATGTTGTTCAAGGATATAACAGCAATATATATATATATCCTGTCCTCGAAACTAAACATAAACATAAACAAAATTCCACCGTCAAATATATATTTCATACTGTCGTGAATATGTAATAACGGATTTCCCGAACATGATGTAAGCGGTCCTCCATAGGCCTCGTGTGATTTCTCGAAGACGAATGACAAACCAGCTGACGTGGCACGACTTGGGTTTCCGTTGAGTGGACCACATGTGTCACCTTATATAAAAAGCCTGAAGTAATTTGGTCGCATATAGTTTGTGGTTCGATGTAAGCGAATCACGGTCATAAGGATGTACAATGATATCTGACAAATTCGCCGTCTTAGAATCATGACTATTGTTATGCTTGTTGACTTTGTTTACACAGAGCGACCAGCCTACGTCACGAGAAACAACCCCACGTGTTTCGCAAATACCACGCAGTGACGTCACACATCTAAAAATAGAAAGGATCACATCGAGACGGTCGGCACACAACGGCAGTCAGTGCGAGAGAGTGGTGGTGAGTTGGGAAGCCAGGAGTTTCTGTCTTGAGCGGTATATAGGCCCAGGTGAATCAACCCACACGGTTTTGAGTGTCCTGGTGTATTACCAAGGCAGAAATGAGCGACGATACAACCACGGAGGCACCAACTCCTGCCGAGGAGACGAAGGTAATTGTGAATATCGAGACAGTGGGCCCAGCTTCCGACCACGAGGGACGCGAAATTAAGGACTCAGAAGTGATAGTTCGTGTGCCGACACCGACCCTTCGAGTAGACCGTATTGAACAGTTGAAAGAAGAAGACGGCGGCAGTAGCAGCAGCAGTTTCGCCTACACAAGCGAGGAAGACGGAGGGAGTCACGGGTCCGATGAGGGTGACCAACCCCAGTTCGAGGCTCCAGACGATGAGCTGAAGGAAAAAATAATTAAACAGGTGGAATTTTATTTCTCTGATGTCAACATATTGAAAGACGCTTTTCTGCTGAAACATGTTCGAAGGAACAAGCTGGGGTATGTAAGCTTAAAGCTCATTACATCATTCAAGAAGTTAAAATCTCTGACGAAAGATTATCGTGTTGTTGCGTACAGCTTGAAACAGTCTGATAAGTTGGAAGTTAACGAGGAAGGAACGAAGGTTCGCCGTGTGGAGCCCCTCCCGGAATATGACGAAACCACTCCTTCGAGGACAGTCGTGGCTGTCAACCTGCCCACAGAAAACCCCACAATAGAAACTGTTGCCGAGATTTTCTCCAAATGTGGAGAGGTAGTATTGATTCGTGTGCTTCGGCCAGGGAAGACTATTCCGCCAGATGTGAAAAAACATTCAGCCAAACATCCAGAAATTGGAACAACAGTCTGTGCAGTGGTTGAGTTTGAAAAACACGAGCATGCCAAAAAGGCATGTGAGGAGATGAATGACACAAGTGATTGGAGAAAGGGCATGCGGATTGTAATGTTGGCACCTCCAAAGAAAATCAATAAGAAGAAGAATGGTGATTACATTGGTGATAAAAATGATAAGGACGACGTTTCACCAGATGAAGGAAAAGATGAGAAAAAGAAGCGCAGGAGGGGTGGGAAGAAAAAGAAGACAAGGCTGGAAGAAATTGCTGGTGAAAATGAATCGTGTCACAGTAGTGGTTCTGATGGAGAGGGGCCATCCAAACCTCAGCGGCTTAGTCCAAAGATTAAAGACCTTGATCCAAACCACCTCAGTCCAAATCACTCCCCACGAACCTCCCCCCGTACCACACCGAAAACTAGTCCGTTGTCTAGTCCGCGATGTCAACGAAGAGGCCGAGGAAGTCACGGCAAATCTCCATTGGCTGAACTAAGTCCAGGAGACAACCGATTGAGTCCTAGAAGTAGTCCAGAAATGTCTCGTAAAAGGTTTGAAAATTCCTCAGGAGGCGAAAGTACCCCAACTAGCCCGTGGGTCCAGCGGAGGCTGAAGGCTGCACAAGAGCTCCAGGATCGAAGTCCGGTTGGAAGTCCTCGACTAGGCCGCAGGAATCCAGATGGTACCTTGGCCACTGGTATTACCCCTAAAATGCTGGACATGGAGGGGGTATATCGTCACCCCAGGGGACCAGATGGCTCAAATGGGTTCTATGGTGGATTTGGTCGAGGAAAGCCAAGAAGTAACACTGTGTGCTGAGAAACAACGATGATCATTATGATCATGCAGAACTGTCCATCTTTAGCAACTGCCAAACTACATAAAATGTATATTGGTGAACTGAACACTCGAAGTTTAGGCTTCATTTCTGTCCAACATGTTAAATGTCAAAAAGTGTATGTAGGTTTTTGTGTTACCGATGATAAGTCCATAACGTAATATATTTTTGTAAGAACAGTATATTTAAGTGTTTAGACAGATATTTCCTTCACAATTGATCTTTGTAATTTATATTTCTGACTGGTTCATGAAATCTTTGAGTAATCAAACAGGTATATTTATAAAGTATTTTCACGATTGTTGCCAGAAATGTTGTGTATGCTTAATGTTTATTTTTGTTAAGGTAAATCAAGTCTGTTTTATATGAGTATTATTTATGCAAAAAGGTATACAATTTTGCGTCTAGCGTCAATGCAGTGCTCAAATTTTTGAGAAATAGATTGTGTTCATTTCAGATATTTTTCGTCAATGGAGATTACCAATGGCATTTATGAATAGACGTGCCCATAAGAAGTAGGCATTTTTTTTATACTTAATGTTTTAGTATACTTTTAGTGTACTTTTGAAATATGAACATCATTTTAGCGATGTTAATGATTGAACAGTGGGCAAACATCTCTCATCCATACATTTGTAAATATTCATGTGTTCATAGATGTTTTTGAATACTGTTGTTGCAGAAACTGCACATGCATTATTTGGAGGAGGATTGTTCCAGTGAAACTGGTACAGATTGTAGGAACATTCCACTGATTTCTTTTGTCCTTTTTTTTTTTTGAATATTTATATGCAAAAATGTCATCTTAAGTTATTTTAGTGTTTTGTATATCGTTAAGATTGTTACGTTTATTATTAAAATGCCAGTGGTTAATATTTTGTCAATATTGCATTTTGTCTTTTTTTTGAGTATTTAAACAAAGAGTTTTATCAGTTATTATATCAGACAGCTTTGTGTATGTCAGTGGTATTCATACATTAGGTGATGGGGCTAACAGGATCGGGTGGTCAGACTGACTTAATTGATACATGTCATCCCAATTGCGTGGATCAATCATGTCAATGCTCATGATATGTTGATCACTTGATTGTCTGCTCCAGACTCGATTATTTACAGACCGCCATCATATAGCTGGAATATTGCTGAGTGCGCTATTAAACAACAAACTAACCACTGGTGTTGTTTGCTAGTCATGCTGAAAAGGGAATCAGTTTCTTTTGTTACCCTGAGTGATATTCAGAGTGCATGGCTGAAAGCAGCAAGCAAAAGTAGCTGTTTGGGGTTTAAACCATCGGTCTCCCAGGCCCTTGGCATTAACTTTAAAGGAGTCATGTCAGGATTAATTCGGCTCCAGGCCTGAAATTAAGAATTGTTTTGGGCTCATTTTGGCATTTTTGCTTTTTTGTTCTGTTGGTATATATTTTTTCAAATAATAATGTACTTCTGGGACTAAATGTCATTTGAAATATTGGTAGTTTGTCTGACCTGCATTTGTTTTAAAGATAAGGAACTGATATCACAATTAGGCCATAGACAGTCTTGCCAGTTGAAGACTAACAAAATTCTAGTTTCCCAGAATTGAATTATAAGATGTAAATACATTCATCATTTAATGTCTTGTACAAATAATCAGTTTGCTCAATGAAGACTTTAATTTAAGCTGAAAGCGTCTTTATAATTGCCCAAACGTTAAAGGTAAATATTTAAGGGGTCCATTGATTCAACTACTACAGATTGAACCTTAAGGACTACTCTGATAATTGCTATATTTGGTGTCCTGGTATTTCTGGCAGCGTTGGGTGGTAAATTGTCTCCACTTTGGAATATGTTCAACATCAACATTTGACACATTTTAAGATAACTACACATGAAGATAAAGCTCAAATATTGCATGCTTGTTAACATCTTTGATGGAAAGATGACGCACTGGAAATGTTCGTGGTAGCAGTTGGTGTGATGAGTTTGTATGCTTCAATACAATGCACAATACTATTTTGTTTGTATCAATCATGATCAATACAAGACAATACACTTACCGAAATACCTACTAGTTTCTTAATGACTCTCCCAGTGCTTTTGTCATTTGAATATCACAAATTTGAATGAACTGTTTTAACTTAAACATAGCCTCACTTCTTTAAATGGCATTTAGAAGCTGGGATTATGAGCATTGATATGGACACCTTTGTTACAATGAGTGCAGCATTTGTGTTGTGTAGACATCAATCTATCATCATTAATTTTGGCATAAACATCAATCAACATGTATGTCACTTCCTTCATTATATTTCTGTACATTTGCTCGATAGTGTCTCCACCGAAATGTTGCACTGTAATAAAGTTTTATATCATAGAAATCTCCCATCTTCAAAACTGACCCTCGTAAAAAATGTCTACAGCCAGCTTTTCATTTGGAACCTTTACTAAAATGTTTGAACTCAAGCAGTTTTTAATATATCATATCATAGCCTATGTATAGTGATGTATCCTATTTGTGACCTTGCTGTATAGTTTCACCATTAGTGACAGTGACAGAAATTCATGTTTGAGATAGCCTGAGTTGAAATTTCATTTGTTTCTGGGTTAAAATTAGTTCCATGCATCCTGTGTTGGCTTTGAGAGGCTCTGTGACTCTGTCCATAACATCACTTTACCTGGGGTTTGGTGGGGTAGCCAAATAGTTAAAGACCAGGGCTCGATTCCCCATATGGGTTTAATGTGTGAGCTGATTTCTGGTGTCCCCAGCCATGATATTGCTGGAATATTGCTAAAAGCGGCATAAAACGAAACTCACTCACTCACTCACTTTACGTGGATGACATGGATGTTCAAACTCGCATTATCATACTATTGTCCGGACTAGTTTACTGTATTCTGCAAAGTTGTGGCTAGAATACTGTTAGAAACACACCTGACACAGTGAAATCTTCTTCATACTCTCAACCAGTGGTCAGATATCAGATTGCTTGTCATTTTACCCCAGAGGCATAGCTCACTGCTCATATCCAACATCCATGGAACACTCGGCCTGTCCCAAACAGTGTTACATGTGTATCACAATGTCATTGATGAATATCTGTCTGTTTATCCAGCAAAATATACATTTATACAGCAAATGCCAATATCAAATCACACAGTGAGTGAGTGAGTGAGTATGGTTTTACTCTCTGCTTTCCACAATATTCCAGCAATATCAAGGCAGGGGACATATTAACCTTAAGGGTGCTTCTCACTATATATTAGACATGGCTTCTTTTCCCGGAATAACCGCATTTGAGGTTTTTGTTTGCTCCAAGGTTTTACTTTTTGTAAGTAAGACCTATTTCCCAGTTTTACTTTTTCCTAACTCTGTATTAACATTCAAATTCAGATGATATGTGAGTGTTTGAAATCAATTGAAAAATATCATCAAGATCAACTTTAATGTGCAAACATTTTCCCTATCAGGGAATGGAACCCCATCTCTCTGGTTATTAAGCAAACGCTCTACCTCATGGCCACCAGGCCATCAAAGAAGCCAGGGTTGAATTATCTATTTATAGTTAGACCTACTGTCATTAAATTGATTTAACTAACGCTTCAGTTACTGTTATGTAGCTTCATTACATTATCATCTAATTATCCATCATTGACAGTTTATATGTATAATAAAGCTCTCCTCCTCGGTTATGGTTGGGAAAGTAAGCCCTTGACCATCGGAGAGAGAGAGGGGGGGAGAGAGAGAGAGTGCTACGCGCTCTGTCTTCTCCCCACCCTCTGGTCTCGGGTCTTACTTTCCCAACTATAACCTCAGAGTCGTGCTTTGTCCTACACATAAAAAATGGGCTTCATACATTGTAACCATGTGGGGAATCAAACCCAGGTCTTCAGCATTATGAGCCAACACTTTAACCACTAAGCTACCCAACCACCCTTGTCAAGCAAGTTTACATTATTAGAAATGCCTGTTATGTAAATTTGGAAGTTGAATTTCAGTTTAATATCTTAAGTTAAAGTTCTTTATAGGTGAACTAATACATGTGGGCAGTGTGAAGTATTTGAGTCTTTGTGGTAAATTATTTCTGTGAATGACATAATAACATCAATTTTCTATATTCATACAAAGCTACTGCATCTCAAACCACAGCCTGAGGTTGCACTGATTGATATCATCGCCATGTCTAGAGTAAGGCTTTTTATAGGATATCACATGTTACTGTTCACATCGGGTGATGTTTAAGGTGAAGCTTCAAAACTGTGGATTGGTTGGTTACAGTGTTTCCTGGGGCGGTGGGGTAGCCTAGTGGTTAAAGCGTTCGCTCGTCATGTCGAAGACCCAGGTTCGATTCCCCACATGGGTACAATGAGTGAAGCCCATTTCTGGTGTTCCTCGCTGTGATATTGCTAAAAAGCGGTGTAAAACTAAACTCACTCACTCACAGTGTTTCCTTAGTGGACACTGTCCCTCCTAATACCCATGGGATACCTGCTCACCATGCTCACCTCTCGGGAGTGCTCTGTCCTTACAATGATTCCTGTGGAGATTCCATGCAAAAATAGGTAGTGTATCACCATCACATGAGTCCACCAATGTGAATTTGATGGGTATATATTGTTTTATTTCATCATGACCAGGCTGCTCGTGCTATCAACCACTGTTTTTCAAGGTCAGTACTGTTTTGATGACAAGGTACTGCGATATACCTGAATACTTCTGGCAACCACCTAATCAAATTTTTAAACCGACTCACCCTCAGTATGAGCTTTGTTTTGAAAGCACAACTGTTAAAAGGAAGTTACACCGCTTTAAGTTAATCCTTTTAAAGAGTCAAAGGTCATGCATGTGAATTTATCATGCTGACCTTCCATAATATTTCAGGAAGTTTAAGCTGTTTCTTCACTACAGCAAAATGTTGATGTGACTTGGTATATTGTTTGTCATCAGACCTGATGTGATTTGCTGTTTGTGGATTCAGTTTGACAGGCCTAGTCTCCTTTCATCACAGACTGAACTCTAGTGATTGAAGGACACTGACAGCCTTGCTTCAGTACTTTGTGTGGCGTGAAAGGTATCTCATGGTGTGTCTGATTCTGCAGTGATGGGGTCATTGGTCAGGAAACAGTTCATGGTCAAGTGTAGGGACAGTGGGGTAGCCTAGTGGTTAAAGCGTTCGCTTCGTCAGAAGACCCGGTTCGATTCACCCAATGGGTACAATGTGTGAAGCACATTTCTGGTGTCCCCTTCATGATATTGGTGGAATATTGCTAAAAGCAGTGTAAAACTAAACTCACTCGCTCACTCATGGTAAAGTTGATAGGGCATCTGCAAGAGACTGTATTGTCTGTTATTTGATAACCTTGGTTTTGATTGTAACTAAAATTGCCTCTTTAAATAATATCTCCAGTGTTAGATAAGGTCAGGTGAACAAGTTGGGCCCTAGGCTCACATGTCCTAAAGTTATAGCATGCTGCAAGATGGGGTGAAAGGGGGCATTATAGTGTAGCCTAGCAGTTAATGTGTTCGCTCACACCCACAACCCTGGGTCTATTCCCAACATTGGTATGATGTGTGAATGAATTGGTTGACCCATGTATAGTATCCCATTGAGTATATCGATACTCATGCTGTTGATCACTGGATTGTCTGATCCAAACTTGATTATTTACAGACTGCTGCCATATACCAGGAATATTGCTTGGTGCATTATGGAGATAAATGGAGAAATGAGCCTTGAGAAAACTGGACTTCTTTATTGTTTTTCCAGAATCTGACTATCACATCTACTTTTACTACTATATCAAGGTTACCCATGAAGTTAGAAGTGGTCCTCAGTAACCCATGCTTGTCGTAAGAGGCAACCAACCAGATGGGATGGTCAGGCTCGCTGACTTGGCTAACAGGGCA